TCTTCCTACCTTTACGTTGTCGCCTTCGGCAAGCGGGCGCTCTGCTGTCCTCCGGCTTTTGAGGTCGCGCTGGGATTGTAAGCACGCGGCCTCTTTTCAGCTTTTGGTGAAGCGCAGCGAGTTTCTTCAGGGCTCCAAACATCAGCTGCCTTTGGCCCCTGACCCTGACCCTGTTGCTGACCAAATCCGGTAACGATGCATCTTGGCAGGTGCAAGGCGGGAACTGTACCAAGAGGTGCTTTTGAGCTCTTAGTTGAACTGTCGTTTCACTTGGGCCTGCGTCGGGGCAAAGAAGAACTGCAGGAGTGAAAACGCTGAGTATGAAAAGCCTTATTTATTTAAAGCGTTGGCTCTGGCCCCTGATGAAAGTGGGTGGAAATGCTTGTGGCAGCAGCCTTTGTCATATTTGCAGGCATACAAGGCCAGTCCTGTGGCCTGGCAGTATATTTTGGCCCACAAGGTAGTGGGGAAGTATTTACATGAGCAGACTATTAAGCCTCCAGAGTTGAAGTTGAGTGCAAGTTAAAAGTGCAGTGAACCATGTTAAAGATGTCTTGCAGGATGTCTTTTTGGCGCTTTTGACCAGGGCAGTCTTGCTTTCGCATCAGCTCGGTGGTGCATGTACTTCAGGGTCTTTTCCAGTGAATTTACAGTGCTTGCGTCCCTTAACTCTTAGAAGACTTTTCTCAGCTGTCTTCTTTTTCACAGGGGAAATGGAGGAGACTTGTTATCATAACAAATTCCGTAAATTTTGGCAGGGCACTGGGGCCAGGGGATATTTCTTTCTTTTCTTCTGCCTGGTGATAACTATTGTCTAGATTTTTTTACTGTTCTGATTATTCACTCTTTTTTTCCACTCTTCTATTTTCTCTAACTTTTTAAGGAGTTTTGTTTCAGAATCATCATCTTCTGTGTTTGCTTTCTCCTTGCTTCCCTTTGCTAGGTATTCTTCAGCTTTTTCAGTCTTACATTTTTACTAATCTAATGGGAATTTACTTCCATCATAGTTCAGACATTTCCCTTTTGCATCATATGTATGTGTTTTTATGTGTATTAGCTCATAAGCCTCTTTCATTTTTAGATTCTGCTTATTTAGCAGATGTTTTTTTACATTCTACAGTTCTTTGTTACTGGGTCGTTTAACTGTTCAGTCCGTGGTTGCAGATAACGCCATGCTGTGATGGTTCATACGACTTTTTAGTAATACAGTACAATTTTTTTTTCAGCTTCACCTGACTTCCTTCATGTTACTTCTACTTTCCAAACCTCTGCATCTGCAGAAATGTCAGAGACAGAGACTGGTAAATGATACTTGTTTTATTTCCTATCCATGATACTTCTTGGTATTGAAATAGTCAGTAGTGTTTCAGCGTTCATTATTTCTTCTGATTTCTTAATGCTGCGTGTGCAATGATATTTCATTTGTTTTTTAAGGATTTGCATTAATTGTAATACTTGCCAGTGTCAAGCTGTTCTAGCGTCAAGTAGGTGATCCTGATATGATCTGCCTATATCAGAGTCGTGTCTTATTAGTGAACAGAGGGCATGGCAGAATTCAGTAGTTGAGAGGAAATTGCACAGTTTGATAATTTTAGGGTTTTTGGGATGACGATAATTTTTTGGGGGAGAGTGTTTAGTCTCTAGATAGTAGTTTTTAAAGAGATTTGTTAGCTGATCATTTGCTTTCTGTTGTAACTTTCTTAAAGTAGTTTTTAGAGAAAGCAACGTTGCAAAAGACTCTGCTGTATGCATAGTATTTTGGTATTAATAAATTATTTTCACAGTTGTTTCTTACACTCATTTATTTTCTCTCTCCATGTCTATTTTTCTTCATTTTGTTTTATCTTATTATTTTTAGCAGAAATGTGCATTGGTATATGAGCATGGGATGTTGCCCAGAATGTGGTTACGAATAGTCAGATAGAGGATTGCTGTGAGGTTCTTGGCTGTGTTTCTGTGCATGCGAGGACAAGTGATATCCTGTTACATCATTTTATCGAACCTTCTTTTTTTGATGACCAGCTTTAAAATCCAATGGCTTGATTTTTTTTTTTTAAATGTCTTTTTTTTTTTTTTTAGCATGGTATGCAGAGGCAGCAAAGCATAAACCCCCGCAACTTTTGAGTAAAAAACTAATTGGAGCTACAGTGATTTCACAAAGGGCTCGCTCTCTCCGTTTCCTTTTTCATCATGTTTCTCAATACCAGGAGGAGGCAAAATCTTGGGCTTATTTACATATTTCCCCTTCAGCTGCAAATACCATTAAGTTGAAAACATCTTTGCTTCTGATTTCCAAAGAACCTAAGTTATCAGGAAATATTATGGATAGCTATCAGAAGTTCAGTCTTTATTCTTTATTTTTCTAAGCTGTGGGCTTAGTCTTGCTGCGTTTTGGAAGAAGGAGAAGAAAGAAGAATCTGGGTTTCTTTTCATCACTGATCATTGAAATCTCTGAGATTCAGAGATTGCCTTATCTTTTATTACATTATTTTATTCGGAGACGGCTTGCCTTATCTTTTGTTACATTAGTATTTCAGGCTGTTTGTCGTCATCCTTTGCGATCACATTCTTTGCTATCTACTTTGCAGGATACATCATGTAGTTTATTTTTTATTATTGCAGTTGTCATTCATTGAACTGCCTTACTGAGACTTCATTTTATCTGTGTTTGGCACTGTATTTTTTGTTGTTGTATTTTGTTTCTTAATGCTTCCAAAACTCTCTCTTTCTGTCCATCGTAGGAAATATTTTTCTTGTACTGGCTTATTGACTGGTGGTGAGAAGAATGTGTTCTCATCTCTTCCTGTTCCTTTCTTTTGTTCTGTTTTCCTGGAGCTGCTATTCCTATTCTAAAATGGAGAAATAATGTAAAATTCTTAGATGATAAGAATTCTGTCTAGTAGAGAATGATGAAACAAACTTCACTGCTGTCATGAAACAGTCATTTCGCAGCTGACTTTCAGGCCATCTGTCATTTTGCTTATGTTTAGCCTAATATTGTCTTGATGGCTTGGCTTCCATTAGCAGATTCCTTTGATATTCCACTGCCTTTGGGATTAATACAGCATTTTAAGCCCAGATTTTCCTTTCAGCTTTTGGTAAAACATGACCTGGTTCTTCAAGATTTTAAAACATGTAAATCTTCTGGCATTCCATAAATGTCACAAAACAGATTTGTATTTGTTTGCTTTTTTAAATGTTTGATCCTATTACAAATAGAAATTTTAAGAGTTACTGTACCTCTTTTAATTGTTCAGCTCGTTTACTATGACCTATTCTAGAATAATTGAAGAACTGCAGCGGATGAAATTTTGACTTCATAAGCACATCATTCATGAAGTTTTCAGTACTGCATTTAGTACTGTATTATAATTACTATATTATCACAGAATGAATCACAGAATGGTTGAGGTTGGAAGGGACCTCTGGAGATCATCGAGTCCAACCCCCCTGCTCAGGCAGGGTCCTCTAGAGCACATTGCCCAGGATCGCGTCCAGACGGGTGTTGAATATCTCCAGTGAAGGAGACTCCACTACCTCTCTGGGCAGCCTCTTCCAGTGCTCGGTCACCCTCACAGTGAAGAAGTTTTTCCTCATGTTCAGATGGAACTTCCTGTGGTTCCGTTTATGCCCGTTGCCTCTTGTCCTGTCTCTGGGCCCCAGTGAGAAGAGTCTGGCCCTATCCTCTCAAGACCCTCCCTTCAGATACTTGTACACATTGATGAGATCGTGTCTCAGTCTTCTCTTCTCCAGGTTAAAAAGGCCCAGCTCTCACAGTCTTTCTTCATAGGACAGATGCTCCAGTCCCCTCATCGTCTTGGTAGCCCTCCGCTGGACTCTCTCCAGTACTGCCATGTCTCTCTTGTACTGGGGAGTCCAGAATTGGACACAGTATTCCAGGTGAGGCCTCACCAATTATGACTGAGTTGTGATTAGTTTCATCTCTTAGTAGATTTACAAGAGCATTCTTCAGTATTTTAAAGACAGTGAGCATTAACTTACTTGAAAACACATATTTAGTGTTTTCACTACTTTGACACTTATGTGTCAAAGAGACATTTCTTAAGACCTGACTGAAATATCCTTATTTACAGAATAGTTGAGCATCCACAAATTGCATGGAATACAGAGGACTGTGGATACTTAGCAGTTACTAAAAATATAAACATAATACTGGTAGTCTCGGGAAGGATTTGGTCTTTAAGTGTCTATGTTCAAAAAAGCTAGGTAGTCTAAGCTGTTAAATACCTCGAGAATAGTTAAGTCTGTGTATCTCTGGTCTGGAGGATTAAAGTAGAATATAAACCTCAAATAATGTAAAATGAATTCAGACCTGGTTTATCGACTTGTTTGCACTGCTTTACCCTTTTGTACTCTTACTTCATTTGTGCAGAATTAGTAGAACACGTGATTGAATTGCTCCGTTTGGTTTGCTATCTGCTGTATGCAGGGATGAGTAGCTGCTCACGCTACAAAGCAGTAGTTTATTGGACCTTGAAGTTTTTCTCTTTCAAAACAGCTGTATACTTTTTGGTCCTTTCAAATTATGTGTTGCAGTTCAGTGCTGATAATTTTGATTTTAATAATTCTAAAACATACTAAATGGACAGCTGCTTGCATTTTTTGGTGTATTGGTTAAATGCAACTTTGTAAATGTAGCCACAGATAACATGAGTTCATTAGCAATGTATTTGAGGGGCAGTGTGTTCTAAAATCCTAACAAAGAAAATGATGCGTTTCTCTCTTACAGTAACTGTTCAAGCACCCTTGAAAGTTATTACGTCTCACTACAGTGGAGCTGAATTGGGAAAATAATCATAAACACTTTTTGGCATATTCCTATTTGTTAAACTTTGCTCAGTGTTCTTAGTTTCTCATCTCAGATAAATTTGGAAAAATCTTAACTTTTGTCTGTTACAGAATTCACACTGAACACAAACATGACGCAGCTGTGTTAGTACTCATGGTTGGTACTGATGGTTGTCCTGCCTCTGCACAAATGCAGCATTTTTGTTTCCTTTTAAACTTAAGAAGTCTTTTTGATTTGAGGTCATTTCAACAAAATCAAAATAAGTGACTGCTTGGACTTTGAAATGATCCAGCTGTTCATTTGATAGAAAACTTTTAGCAGCAAGTCATGTGTAGCTTTACCGCTTTCTGTGGCATGTTCTCTCAGAACTAGCACAGCATTCACCATAGTTGTAAAGAGTCAGGCTATTTGGATTTCTTATTACTTGTCCTTAGACTTTAATCAGTAGTGAGTGTTCCTAGCATCAAGAGTGTCTATATTGCTATTTTCTGCTCTTCAGTCTTTCGTATGCCACTGTCCATAAAAGAGGTCAACTTATGTTTCTTCTACACTGTCTGCATAATTTTTCTAACAGAAATGGTAGTGTCAATGAGCTGATACAATCTGGTTTTTGGCATTTGTATTTTCATTAAAATGCTGTCACAAAAGCTTAAAGGGGTCTTGAAGTCATTTCCCCCTCAAAAAGATGGCCTTTCTTAATAATACTGTTTTTATCAAACTGATTTTGTGGCAGTTGAGGGGAAATAAGATCCCTAGATAAGGCATGAATTTACTAAGTATCATCAGAAAAGATGATCCCATGTTTCAAACCCTATCTTCTGGAATTTTCTTGTTTGGTATTAGCTATCCAGAAACCAACTCCAAAATCTATGCCTTTGTCGTTGATGGCAACTACAAGGACAGTGCTGGAAAAATAGCATAGATTCCATAAATACTTCCATCATTTTTGCATTGCTTTTTGTCTGGCAGAGACTTAAAACATGTTGGCTGCCAAATGTTTGCAGCAGGCTTTTTATTAAAACTTGTATATCAGCCACTTCTGTATAACTTGTCAGACGGTTGCTACAAGTATGTATAGACATGTATTGGAATTAACTGATTTTCTGAAGTTACAATTCTGATACCAAAGATTTTAGACATAAGAAAATTCTTACGGTAAAAAAGTAGAATGAGATTTTAAATCCTGTAACAACTGTATTGTAAAATACACCAGTCCTTTTTTTTTAATGTTAATCATACTTCAGCTGAGCTGCAGGTTTTCTGCTGTCTTGCCTGTCTTTATGTCATCTCGAACTGCCTTTCTGCTAGCTGAACATTGTGTTACAGCTTTAGATTTGTGGTTCCACCTTATTCTAACCCTAGATTCTCTTCTCAGTTTTTCATGAAACACAGCCCACTTCATCAAGATTTCAAACATCTGAAAAATCTAGTGTCCCAGAAATGCCAGTGCACTCATTTAGTAATGCTGTTTCTTGAAAATTTAACCATCATGACTCTTAGACGTAATAAAAGTCATTATTAATTTTTATTACATCATTACTTCAAAAAGAATGCATTAAAGAAAATCAAACCAATTGAGTTTTATACTCGGGAAGGTTATAGCAAGCTTTGTGGGGTAGAAGAGTAACCATAGAAGTTAAATGATATTATTAGATTTTTTTTCATGTTTCACAGGACGTTTTCATAAACCAGGAAGTATGATATGGATGAAAATAATGAAAGATGAATGTGATATGATAGTAGCTATAAATAGTTGACTGTCAAAATGGAAGGATATATTAAACTAGATTTTGTAGGGAATATTCATTGGTCCAGTATTAGGCAGTAGTTTTATTAATGACCTAGATGGTAGAATGGAATTGATGCTTGTTAAATTGACAAATGGCACCAAGCTGCAAGACATGCTATTATGTAGAGGATAGAATGCTCTTTCTCAAGAAAAAATATTTAGCTTATGCAAGAGTAATCAATTGTATGCGTGCATGATGGAGAACCACTGGAGAGGAACTTTTTGTTATAGCGAATCAAAAGCTTGACTGTGATTCAGTATTGTTGTGCTGTTGCCAAAAAGGGAAGCACTATACAAAAATGTAACAGTAGAAGAACAGTCTGCCAGGTACATGAAGAAATCCTTCTGCTCTACTGAGCTTTTAGAGAGCTGCATATTACTCTGTTCACTTCTTGAGTTTTGCACTCCAAAAAACCCGGTGCAGACCCATCGGGGCGGTTCAGAAGAAGATACCAGCAAAAGTTATTAGAAATCTAGAAGGTGCAGCCTATGAAAAGATTGAGTGAAGTGTGATTCCTTAGTCTGCATAAAACAAAGGGCATGATTATGAAGATGCATCTCAGATTTATTTACTTTTTTTTTTTTAAAGTTGTTAATAGCGTGGAACTGGAAACGTTTGCTCCTCCAAGTTCCAGGATACTATATTTGTTACCAAAAAAAAAAAAAAAAAAAAAGATTGGGTAATGCTGACACATTTTTTCTTTAATTAAACTTTTATTATTTTTCTTCTCTTAAAGATAATTTTGGGAGCTATTCCTTACATCTTTCTTCTGCTATACTTGCAATTCCTGAAGTTTATTTTCATCAAATATACTCACTACTTTTTGTAGGAGCCAACACCCACTCTGTTTTATTGTTAAAATACGTTATCCATGGGAATATCATTTTGATAGCTTCAGAAAGCGGCCTATTTAACAAGTGTTTCAGAAAAGCACTTGCCTGGCTGCTTTTTCTCACAGCAGAAATATGTAGCTGAAAGTCTGACCATCTCATACAACATAAATGTAGTGATTAGAAAATTGCCTCTAAACTGAGCAATTCCTTATCATTTGTTTTTAGCAAATATTCAATTTTTAAGTCTCTCAAACCTTTTTGAGGTTTTTCGTGTATCTCACTCCTCACCGTGTTATTCTTCTTATACCTCTGTGAAGCTACAGGAGAGTAAAATAAGTTATTCAGGTCATTTGCATGTGTAAATACACACAAACATGTTTTTATATGTGTCAATATGTATATGCCTAAATATAGACTTTTTGACTATGCACAAAAAAGCGTTTTGATACCCTATGTGTGATGACTGTCTGCCTCAGTATCTCAAGACTATATTTTGTTAACTGTGTGTTAGCTGTTGTGCTAGCTTCAGAGAGACCAGTTGTGAAGTCAACATCTCTTTCCTACCTGGAAACCAGAGATACAATAATAGTATAGTATAGTAAATAGCACATATTTACATTATAGTTTCTGTTGCCTTCTCATCACTGCACTGGACAGCAGTAGGATTGAAAGTTAGTATTTTTAAACAAAAGTGTGTGTCATGTTTGCTGTATGATTCTTTCGTGTCAGTCATTCCTTTTCATTAGCAACTAGAAAGCAGCCTGTCCAGACTGAATGACTGAGGAACATACTGTTGTTTATTATCGTTAGCTGTTTTGTGTAGGTTTAGTTCTTATTCAAGAATTTTCTTTCCATAAACTCTTCAGAAGGATGAGAATTCTGTGTCCTGGAAATTTAGGAAACCTAAAGATGCCAGATCTGATTTAACTCATGTTGTGTCCATACTGTAGGAAGCATCAGCTTGATTGTTCTTATGTCAGTTATCCCACAGCTGACTTAGAGGCCATTGACTAGCTTGGTTTTATTTGCATACATGCTTCTTTTTGCAGCACAGCTTCTGCCAGCTGGGTAATATAGGTTTTTCAGTGGCTCTGATGGTGCTGCAGCTTCTTAAACTTAGATTCTCTTTTCAGCTGCTGATGAAACACAGCCAGTTTCTTCAAGATCCACAACGTCTGGTATTCCAGAAATGGCGTCAACAAAATCTGGTAATGACATTTCTTGAAAAAGTAGTTTTATTAGTGTTAGCAATTCTCACAAGAAATGTCCTTATGAATTTGGTTGTATTGTTAGTTCAGTTTTTTGTTTTTTGTTTTTTTAACCATGGAGTTAAGATAATTACAGGAAGAAGGTAGGATAATTATTTGGGATAATGTTGAAAATGGTAGGCTTCTAGAATTATGACACATTGAGAATAATGGAATATTATAATTATTATTTCTTGTATCTTTGGTAATTTTGTATTACACACATTATTATTATCGGAAAGTTTTAAGGGCAGAGGTGGTCTATATTATCGTTGTATGTTTATACTTTTGACTGAACATGAATTCGCTCATTCTATACTCATTGATTTACATCCATATCTACCGCTGCACCAATTGAACTGGCCTGATTTGTGTAAGAACTGTATCAACAGATCCCCTGAAATCAGTGTTAACTGCCAGCAGTCAGCAGTGGACAGTTACTCTAAATAAATGAATATAGAATAGTACTTCTGTGATACTTATAACTCTATTTCTGGAGCGTGATTTCACTAAAATATTTTACTTCAAAACTATAATTACAGAAGTTATTTGTTGTAAGAAAGTGTGATTTGACAGGTTTAAGGTGAATATCTTTTTTTTCTTACAGTAACTGTTCAAACAGCTTTGCAACCTGTTACATTTGACTTAAGGAAAGTGGAACTGGATAAATTATAATGATATTTTCTCAATGTCTAATATAATAATTTCTCAGATAAGGACCATATGTTCTTTTTACCTGCTCCTGAAACTGCATCTTTTGAGATATATTCGGAAGCCTTTCAACACTATCTTTTACAGAACTCATATTAAGCACAAACGTAGTGTGGTTGGGTTAATGTTAATGATCTTTCTCTGTGTGAATTGAATGGCTTCTTCTTTCTAAAGCTGAAAATTTTCTGCAATTTTGTGCTATTTCAAATTTATGTCTTTAATCTATGCTGTGAATGTTAATTTGATAGGATTTTTTTTCAATATCTAGTGTGTTGGATGTCCCTTCCAACCCTCTGATTCTGTGATACTGCTTTAGGTTAATAGCATATGCTTTGTTATGCACTGAACCATTCCCTTATGATTTTAAAAAATGTAGGCGAGCTGGATTTAATGTGCATCCCACATTTGGTCAGGGGTGCTTATAAACTAAATGGTGAAGTTTCTAACCTTAATATTTAGTAGAGTGAGCTTTTGTCTGCTGACAAAATAACTTTTTATAACTTGAGGTGTTAATTTGATCTGTGTCTTTGCCTAAGGAAGGCATTTACGGGCTTTTTTCTGTGCCAGATATGTAGGTTTTCCAACTTGTGTGCATAAAATGATGTTTTTAGGAGAAATGAAGCGCTGATTCATCACTTTATTTTCATATAGCATACTTTCATATTAAAATTTAAGCATAAAGCATTTTCAACCGCTTATTTAAAAGATTTATCTGGAATTTCCAAACCCAAATGTATGGGGAAAGAGGGTGGCTGTCACCTGTTGCTGTTGAATAGAATTTAAAAATCAGATGTAGCTGGGTGGCCTTGTAATAAACGCTTCAAAATTAGGTGCCATATTTTCCCCCACCCACCCAAAGAAGGCAGAGAACAGACTGTGCTATCAGAAATATCACTTTAAAATGTGTATACAAGAAGTATAAAATAAATAGAGATATTCCAGCTCTGCTAACAAAGGGCCAAAGATCACCTCTTGTAAAGACTGACCTCACTCACTGTTTCAAGATTGTTTTCATATTTGATTTTAGCTACCAAGGAACCAGTACTGAAATCCACATCTTTTCCCTCCACGGAAACCAGAGGGACAGTGATGGGTAAATAGCATATAATTCCATTAGCTTTTCCATGCCTTGCCATCACTCCCATTTGCCTTGGATAATGCTAAGATTCATTAAACATATACAATAACATAAAAACCAGGTCGGGCTTTTTTGTAAGGTCAACCATTGCTATGTAACCATAGCTGAAAAGTAATTTACTGTACTGACTAAATAACAAGCTACAAAAAGACCTGTACTAGCATACATTGCTCTCATTTGTTTCTCATATTTGCAAACTTATTTCAAATAATAGGTACTTATACAAAAATTTTTTAAATTAGTCTAGTGACAAGAATCCTACCTTGCATGGGAAACCAGACTTTTGCTATCACCCTACTTCACCTCACATCAGCTTCAGTGTTTATGTAACACCTCATTTCACAGCTAGTCTTCAAGGCTGCTGCCATCTTGCTTGATCTCACGTTAGTATTATTTTGAACTGCCCAGCTCCTGCTATCCAAATACTGTGCTAGCTTGATGCCTCTGAAGTCCCTTTTCATTTTAACCTCAGCTTTTCTTTCAGTTTTTGATGAAAAACAGCCTGTTTCGTCAAGATTTGAAACATCTGGCATCCAAGAAATGCCATCAGCTGTACCTGGTAATACTTGAAAATGTGATTTTAATTAGAAATTCTCACAGAGATTTCATCATGCCTTTGTTATTTAACATGAATCAAACTAATTACAGAATTGTTGTAATTTATTTGTTCTATCAAATACCGGACTAATTTAGGAAATTTTATATGATATTCCAAAATAATATTTTTTCCCGATTTTGGTCTGCATTCCTAATATATTTACAAGTCTATGTGGTCGTGCTTCATCATAATAGACTTTAGCATTCCGTATAACATATAATAGTGGAGTTTCTCTTTTCAAGGCTTATAGCGGAAGGTAATGTTAAGTTATGTTTAAATCCCGTAATCAAACTGTTCTGATTGTTGAAACTAAGTCCTATAGAAATAACAGGATCAATAGCAAGTTGTTGGTTATTTGGCCACTTCTGCCTCATGTCCCTGGTTACGTTGACTAGACTAATGTAAGGTGCCCATTTTTTTTACAAGGTCAGCCAGACTAGCCAGTTCTGGCAGTATCGCACACACAGTGACCTGTGAATCCTTACCAACTTTAGCGAGGTAGTAATGTCTTGAAAAGGTCACTTTTTTCTATGGCAGTTCTTCCCTCTGTTGCCTGTGTGTCCCTGTATTTTGTGTGAATAAAATTGTTCATGATCCTTCTGTATCTTGATTTCCTATGGAAGCGGTGGTTATGCATTTGCTCTGCATGCTTGCTCGTGTTTGGCATTTTCCCTCCATTAGCTTTGAAGGCTTCCATCAATTTCAGAGGAGTTTGCTAAGACAATTTAAAGATAAATTTCTGTATAAATTCTCAGCTCTGCTGAAAAGAAACTCAGTTTTGAAGGTTTAAGAAAAAAGAGGAGGAACTTAGTTACTGTGCACTCGTCTTGGAAAGTAACTAGTCAGCCAATCGGCATGCAAAGGAAACCAGTTTTAAATAGTTCCGCTGCTCATAAAAAACCTTGTTTTTACAGAGCCATTCCAAAGACAGTAGTTGAAAATGTCTGATTGTGTTGCTGGAGTATTAGTAATCAGCTCTTTCTTTGGCTGTCTGGTTTTAAAGCTTATATCCAGGTCTCTCTCTCACTTTTAGCCTTTTTTAGTCATGTTTTACATGCTTTGCAGGATTTTTATTAGGAATTTTTCAGTAGTTGCTGTTAATAGTTACATGTGTGTTCATGCATATCCCAGACGATACATACATCTCTTTTAGATCACATATCTAGAAATTTAAACTGAAGATTCTTTCTGACTTCAGAGCCACGGGGTTTAATATAAGATGGAAACTCTGTCCAGTGAATGAAGACACTGCTGCTCTATGATATTTTTCCACAGTTTTCAATTAATAAAGATCGAGTTTGTTTTTGTTTTTCAGCTTTACATGATTTTCATCATGTTTCTCCAGTTCCCTAACTAGCTCTGCCTCCAGCAATACCAACAATGGAAACCGATAAATTATAATCATACTCTTCAAAGATCCTTTTAGACTTATTATTTTCTCTGTTACAAGGGCTTCCATGTTGATCGTTTCAGCTCATTTCTTAGTGCTGCACTGAGATATTTTCTACGGCGTGTTACTTCCTCAACTCCACGAAACTAATCTGACATTTTTTGAGTTCAGACCTGTATAGGGTTATTTCAGGAGTCTTGATGAACATTGCTAAATGACCCATGGTACTAATCGTACAGAAAAGTCAGGAGATAACTGAATTAGTTTTGCTAGGCTACCTTTTTAATTTATGGTTTATCATTATATATTTTATTGTTTATACATTATTACAAGACCTGGCATTTTGCCTTTATTCAAGTGGGGGATTTTCTTAGAACTCACACATGCAGTAAAGTAGGATGTGTGACGGTTGTTTATAAATCATCAAACAGATTTGCTTTTTTTTAATGAGCTTTTTGCTCCTTTGCATATCGCAGCTATTAATATGATTTAAGGGTTTTTTACGTCATAATAGAAAACATTGTGAAATGCCCTTTAAATTCAAATTCATTTGTGCCGTGGTATCATGTCCTGTAGGGAAGTTGTATTCAGGTAGGTTAACATGAGGTCTGTAGGTGTAAAGCAGCTATCTCTGTTCCCTTAGATTTAGTTCAGGTCAAATACACACTGACTTTGCTATTTAGCATATTTAGCTTACTCTTTGGCTTATCTGGCTCGCTGTTTAGGATAATTCACTTTATATACTTTATATAATTTCATATTATATGCATTAGCTTATGTTAAAGTAATATCTTCTCCATTTTTAATAAAAGGATGTGGTTTTGCTCATGCATGTGAATCCTTTTAAATGGAGTTCCACGACTTTTAGGGTTGAATGTGATATCTGTCTTTTTCCCATCATCTTTCACTGCATTCTGCCCCAGTATGGAGTTGCCATGTACATTTACTGCTGAATAACTGCTGAGTACTGCTGAGCTGGAAGCATCTCTCTCTCCAGTTTCTTCAGTACCTCATTTGTTAAGAAAAAACATGGGTAATAATGAAATATTTCTTTTAAGCAAAATATTTGAGATTATAGATATTCTAGGTTTTACTTGGGTGAATTTTTGGCTTTATTGCTATCTTTTGTTGTGTTTTTTTCTTTCTTTCTTTCTTTCTTTCAGGTATTCTGGGGGCTGTTGCTTTTGTTCTAGCTTGCTGCCTGATTTGTGGTACTTGTCATCACCAGCTACTTTCGCTGCTACGCTAAATGTTCTTCTTTTTAGGAACCACTTCTAGGCTATATTTTACTACTGAGGCTGAGCTCTATAGGTTTCTCTTGCTGACGGTTTATTTTGTCTGAAAGGAGCAGTATAATTTGTTTGTTTGTATTCCTATATACTCATGATCTCAAAAACATATTTTGAGTCCTTTATCATCCAGAATAAATCAGTATTTACTGTAAGACCTTGCTGTAAGTGTTTTTAGGTAGCTACAATTCTTTTCCCAAAAAATCAATTATGATACCATCATAAAATGATAAGAATTTTGTCTGGTGTGGAACATTTAAGTTGTTGTACCATACATCAGTCTCGTAGCTTATTTCAGTTATCTCACTGTTGGTTTTCAGGCCAACTGTCTTGCCTTTGTCTTTTCCTGTTCTTGGAGAGCAAAGATCCTGTGAGTTGAATGCAGTGTTGTACCTGGAGTTCCTTTCTGTTTTGTGTGCGTGCTCCCTGTGAGATCCCTCAAAATACTAAAATACTTTCAGTTTTTAATGAAACACACAGCATTTCTCTCTGAGATCCAAAACCTCTAGCATCCTAGAAATGCCACCAACCATACCTGATAAAGATATTTGTTCAAAAACTTAGTTCTCTTGGTAATTGGAAATTTTTGCAAGGGATGTAATTGTGCTGTGTGATCTGTGTATTATTATTATGAATTTTTTTTTATGCTGGAATCAAAGTGCTATGTCAAATACTTTGTTTATTGCTTAGCATTTGATGTATTTGGAAATGACTTTTGGGGTTATAAAACCATCTTTTGTTACATTAAAGACAAAAAAAAAACCTTTGTCCTGTTAGATAGTACTGGATATAGTGAAGAATACGCTGTTTTATGTCTAAAAGATGCAACTGAATTGATTGCACTTGAGTATTAATGTTAGCTATAATGATCTAAATCAGCATCCAAGTACCTGTTTTGCTCTCCTGTGCAGCACTATAAGAAGTCAGATATCTGTGGCCATTCTGGTAGTGCTGATTCTTTTGGAAATAGGGCTCTGCTTTCAGAGATTTTGATACAGAATTTTAAGCCTTAAAACTGAGCACTCACTTGGTAAGTTTTGGGCAATGTGACCAGTTCTCTTATTACAGTATTCTTTGTTCTAAAAATAATATTAAAGCTGCAATACATATCAGTGCAGCATGAAATTAAGCAGCAGCCTGATGCTTTACTGATGATGGTTGTTTTCATCTGCTAATGTAAGTGCAAAATAAGTAAATGCTCTTCTAAATCGATTTGTGGAGTAATCCACTTTACATGGAGAGGAATGAATATGCAGAGTTCAAAGTAGTGGAGAACAGAGCCAAGTCCTTATATTCAAATAGATTTAAAGCAGTAATTTCTAAGTTAGAAATTTTGCTTTGCCAGCATTAAGTGAGACAATGTAGGTTCCAGATCAATATTATTAGAAACAAGCAAACCAAAAATTATATGCATTACAGTATTGATTAACTGCAACTTTTTAAACTAAACTGCACAACATGGTAGTTAAGGAAAATATGTGTAACAAATAGATCTTGAGCTGGCTCTTCTAAGGTAAACGTGATGCTTTCAAACACTCTTGAAACCTGTTGTACCCAACTGCAGTAAAGATAAACTTGGTAGATTATGGTATTTTCTTGACATCTAAATTCCTTACACTTATCAGAATATAATAAATGCTTCTAAATATATTTAATTTTCCTGTTCTTGCTTGCCAGCTTATATTCTTTTGTATTCTTTTACTTTCTGTTTTCAGAATATATTCCTAAAACTTGCCAGCATAGGTTACAATAAAGACACTGAACAAATGCAGTTGAATCAATGCTCAAGGTTCTGCCGTTTCACAGTTTTGGCAGGAACAAATACTTCGGTTCCATTCGGTGCTGAGAATTCCATCCAAATCAGGGCTATTTCAAATTCTTGCCCTACACTATTCCCTTACACTGGGACATCCACTGCAGGTTCATTTGCAAGGAAACTTTTAGCAGCTGTCCAACTGCCTGGAGTTGCAGGTTAATGGCAAAGCTTGCAGATTCCAACTGAACATTCTCTTAAAATCAAGAAATGGATTCTACTCGGGATATATATTTATTACTTCTTCAGCGATTGTAATCACTAATCTAATCGCTAACACATCTTCCGTGCTGAGCAATAACTTCTGATTAACAGAATGAACAGAAAAGTTCAGTGTGATTTTCTATATGTTGGCATAATAGAACATTCAAGTTCAGCTTTGTATTCTATATACTTTGCCTATAAAGCAAGTTATACTGCTCTTTTCCAAGCCAGATTTCCCAACAGTTACAGTTTTTGGAAGAGCAGAGAAAATTATGTCTGATCTAATCTGGCGGTCATCACTTTAATAAGGCATGAACAGCCACATGCAAAGATATTCCCAGATTTTGAGGAGAATTGAAAAAAATGACAAAATACGATAGTAATGATTACTTTACATCTTCTAGGCGTGTGTTTGGTATGAGAACAGTCAGAATATACAATTAGTTGTTTGTATTTAAAGGACTGCCTTGGAGTGACCAACTGAGGAATTCTTATTCTTTTTTGGTTTTGCTTGTGAGTGTGTATGTGTGTGTTGGGGGGGGAGAGAAGGAGGGAGAAGAGAGAGAAAGCTGCAGTGTTATCACTTGTGCAAAGACTGCTTATTTCGAGAAGATGTTCATATTTGATTTAATTAGATAACTAGTGCTCAAGTCTCTGTCTCTTCCCTTCTTGCACATGTGAGAAAGTGATGAATAAAAAGTGTGATTATATTACAGTTTTCATAACGTTGCCACTAGTTTTTTTTTTTCTGCTGTGAACACCTTCAGACACATTTGCTTCCAAATCTAAATGAAAAGCCTGTTAAATAACTGTTTTGTGTCAGTAATTTCCTAATAAACAGCTGGAAAGCATTACCTATACAAGATGCTAAAGGATCGCAGTGTTTTACACCAACTTGAGCTGTTTCATTATTATATGGTTGTAATTTCTACTCCAGAAAATGGAAAAAAAGATTCTTAGATAGGAGTTCTGTCTAGCATAGGATATTGGAGCCTATAGGCACCATATTGTGCTGCCTATCTTTCTCTTTATTCACAAAACACAGAGATGAATCTTAACCATTCAGTATCTTGCTTGCCTTTGCATTTATATAATCTCGAACAGCACACCTTGTGTAGGGTAGTGTATTGTGCTATTCCAGCAACACTGAGATTCCTTGGCATTTTAAATCCAGGTTCTCTTTTTAGCTCTTGATGAAATACAGATGGTTTCAAGATTCATGTCTAAAGTGTCTGGCATCCCAGAAATTCTGTCAGTCCAATCTGGTGATAACGTTTTGTGAAACTGTACGGTTATGACAGTGAGGAATTGTCAGAAGAGATGCTGTTGTGCTTTTATTGTTGGTTTATTTCACTTTACTTTGGGTATAAGAACAACTGCAAGATGAAAATTCCATATCATATATCACTTTTGTTTAAGGCATTTTATGAGATGTTTACAGGAACAGATTATGATTACGTTTTTTATTCTTAATTCATTTTTGCAGTATAATTGGTAATATTACCTGTAATTGCCATTGGTCTATTATATATTACTTAATGTAATAGAATTTTATAATACACTATTTTCAGCACTTAAGTTGCCTCTGAAGTAATATGAAGTTAGGAACTGGGCTTTACATGTAGAGTGTCATCATACGTAAGAACTGTATTGCTTGAAGTTGTACTGCTTTTGTTTTTTTGTTTTGTATTACTGAAATGAAGGTTGGTGGTTACTGGCATTTAAGACATCTTCCTAGTCAGTTATAATGTTCTCTGTGTGCAGGGGATTCTGTTTGTACATTTCTTTTCTCTTGGCTGTTTGTGTTGTATTCACTTGTGTTTTAAAACAAAGTGAAAAAGATGTGCGAGCTGTAAATACTGCAGCTGTGTAGAGTATTGGTTTAGCTGTTTTTGTCTTGAAGGAGGACTCTGACTCTTAAGTTAGGTCATAATGACAAACTCTTGTTAGTGAGATGAAAGATAGCAAAGTGGGCATTATAAGCCCACGTTCAGTTCTTTAAATTGCTCAAGACTTTATAGTCCGGGTGCATCTTGGAGGAAAAAGAGGCATATATCTTTCCATTTCACTATTGTCATTTGCTTATCTATGTTCATTAACTTCTGAAAATAAATGCAACTTTTCTTTTAAGTCATGTGTGTGTATTAGTGTGCGAATGAGATTCTGTCTGCTTAGAGTACTTCCTCTTCCTTCTAGGATAGAAACCTTCTTCCTCTGTGAATTAAGGAGATGCTATTCCATTAGGGATTCTTACAGATTTTGGTTAAGAAAGCACTTTTTTTTTTCTTCTAGAAGATAGCTCAGGCCTTGCTGGAAACCCATGTTAAGTTCACCTGCATGCATATTTCTCCAGAGAAGCTCTTGTTTCCTTTCTTCCAAGCACACAATTTTTTGGCCCAAAAGTTGAGATTTTTAAGGATGATTAAGAATATAGAAATCTGAGCAATTAATTGTTTTTCAGTGACAATGAAAGGTGGTCATTTCCAAAACATTACAGTACCTTTCATGCAGGCTGAAGTTTTGGCTATGTATTCATTGGTTATATCTCCATTTACAGCTTGAAATTATTTATTTGATGCTAGACAGCGGATTTTAGGATCTGTCATGTATTGCCGTTAACAGGAAGCTCTGGAACATCATGACTGGTACTTACTGTCTACTGGGTTCTGAGTTTTTTGTTGTTAATTGGTACTCATCTAAATCTTTTAATTCAGAAGTATAAGGAATGCTTCAGTATTGTTTACCAGAGGTGCAATGTTCAGCTACTGGCTTTTTTGGTTTGCTTTATATGATGGGAGGAGAAAGGGTGATATCGAGTGACAAAAAATTGATAAATCATCTTTTAGTAGGAAGAATATTCCTGAGAAACCACAAATTAAATACAGGCCAATTTGGATGTGATTAAAATGATGCTTTTATATCTACAGAAAGACTGCCTTAGTATCTCAAGATAATTTCCATCTCTGATCTTAGCTCCCCCAAGGCCAGTCCTGGAGTCCACATCTTTTCCTTCCTTGGCAACCACAAGGACAGTGATGGGTAAATAGTGATTCCATCATGATTTCTGTCATTTTGGCAATACTTTCATATGAAGAGCATTTAAGATTGGGTCAAAGCCTTTTAATTTTGTTGCTGTTAGTGACAGTGCCTAAATATATCAGTGACATGGTTAGTCCTTTATAAACGATTACAAGAAAATAGCGTTATTAAGCATCTCAATCCCTTTTAATGATTTACTGCTCTATAGCCCTAGTTCACTAGAACTGTTTTAATTCTACATTAACTCAGCTAGGCCACACTGATTTTAAAAGACAATTGAATAATAATGAGTGCAAATATTTATGTTAAAAACTGAATGAAATATGGGCTTTGCTTATTTAAAACTCCGTACTGGCAATGCTTTTAACAATGCATATCCATCTCTAGTATCTCAAGGCAGTTTTCTGGTTTGATCTTAGCTACTTGGAGACCAAAGCTGAAGTCTCCTTCTCCCTACCTGGCAACCCAAGGAACAGTGGAGGGTAAATACAATCCTTTCTTTTTTTCTTCTGCTCTTCCATCACTTGACATCATTTTCACCTGCTTGGAACAATATCTACGTTTGTTAATGCACCATGGCTTGCAGAAACACTTGCCATACTACTTACATAATTCTGTCGTTTGAACCTATGCTTTTTCTATCACTTGAAAATCATTTTCTGCAGGTACTGAGTGAGAGCTTGTGAAAAGAACATATCACACAATACTTTGCTTTGTGCGTCTGCAGATGTAGGTTTTGAAACGTCTTTCTAGCATGAAATTTTACAATATGGCAGAAGCAGAACGCTACCACCCACCAGTCTTGCTATATATGTGGCATAGTTGTCTCATAGCCGAAAGAAGGAAGTGTTGAGCATTTGTAGTTGCGTGCATTTAAAAGAGAGGTCCCTACCACCTCTCCTCTTGAATTCCAAATCCAAAAGCGGGGTCCTTTGGCTCTGATGTTCTCTCTGCAAAGGCTGCCTGCGTCTTTCGGCGAGATGTAAGGATCGCTTTGGTGAAGTAGCCGTTTGGCCATTTTCCTGCAAACGGAGAGCCATTTAACTACTGAGTCATATTGTGTTAGTTGCAACCATGGCAAGGCAGCTGATAGCTGCTTTGGTCAGGGACTCATGAGACGCTGCCAGAAAAGGGCAGGTCTTGCACTAAACTTGGACTTTTGGGGTGTTGTAAACCGGTGCTGCCAGTTGCTGCTTGCAGCTCTGGTGGCAAGACTTTTGCTGTCTCAGGATTGTTTCTGTGTCTGACCGTAGCAACGCGGAGACCAGGCCTGGAGTCGCCTTCACCTGCTTCACTGGAAACGGCAAGAACCGTGATGGGTAAATAGCCTGTGATTCCCTTCCTGCTTTTGATTACTCTGGCATCAAAGAGATGAGCCCGTTCAGAGGTTTTGATTCTCTCTCATGGCAATACTGAAAAGTGGATCCACGATGCGGTTGCTCCCTTATGCCTCGTTATTAGAAATTGCTCCATTTGTAAGCTTTCAGATTCCTTTTGGGGGCTTGTCCACGCTGCAGGCCTCGTCCACTTTGAGGTTTGCTCTGCCGCGGGGCTATCTACGCCAGCTGAAAATAGCATCAAGTTACAGGGAGCAATGCCGTGACAGCGAAGCCTGCCCCAAGCAGGGCCACGTCTTCTTGTTTATAGCTATGTCTTGATGTGGTCCATGCAACGACAGGCTCTCTGAGGACCTGAAGGTGGTTTTTGTGTTTGATCTTAGCTACTCGGAGACCCAGGCTGAAGTCCACCTCTCCTCCTGCCCTGGCAACCCAGCCAGCCGCGAAGGGTAACTAGCATCCAGCCTTCCTTTGCCGTTTTCTCCTCTCTCTCCCCTTCCCCCCTCCCCGGTCACTTGGCATCGCTGTCGTTTGCTGGCTGCTGGGGGAGAGTATCAAGACTCTCCCCAAGCGGTGCACCTTGGCTTGCAGCCCGACCTGCCCAGCGATAGTGTTTTTGGATGGGAATTGCTGCTGGGCTGGGTTGGCGCAAGCTGGTGGTGCTGCAGTTCTGCCACCCACTGGGGCCTGGGGATCCAGGGGTGCCGTTATGAGATACCCGACAGCCGGCTTTCAGGCCGGCCGGCCGGCCTCTCTTCCTGCCTTTACGTTGTCGCCTTCGGCAAGCGGGCGCTCTGCTGTCCTACGGCTTTTGAGGTCGCGCTGGGATTGTAAGCACGCGGCCTCTTTTCAGCTTTTGGTGAAGCGCAGCGAGTTTCTTCAGGGCTCCAAACATCAGCTGCCTTTGGCCCCTGACCCTGACCCTGTTGCTGACCAAATCCGGTAACGATGCATCTTGGCAGGTGCAAGGCGGGAACTGTACCAAGAGGTGCTTTTGAGCTCTTAGTTGAACTGTCGTTTCACTTGGGCCTGCGTCGGGGCAAAGAAGAACTGCAGGGGTGAAATTAATACTTTTATGATCCTTCTGCCTTTTTCTTGTGCAACAATATGCTTTCTGTATATCAAAGGTAGTACACCTCTCCCACCTCTATTTTTAAAGGGAATTTGTTTTGAAACTCGGTTGTTTTTTTACCTCACATCCTGCCCTGAAAGACCCAGGCAATTCTTTCTCTGCCTTTCACATCACTTTTCAGTTTTCTTTCTCATTGTTTTCATCTTTTTTTTTTTCTTTCCTTCTTTCTCAGTCATATTTTCTGACATCTTTGAATATCTTTCCATAATTCTTACAACAGTTTTTTTCATTATTTGCATCACACATTCACATTAGAAAATACATTTCATGTACATTTGAAATTATTCCTAGCTGAAGTCCCTAATTCCTTAATAATGGGTTGAAACCCATTCATTCTTCAAGTTCAGATGATGTTACCATTATCCTTGTAATTTTTAAGTAACATATCACAAATCTTTTTTTGTCTTCCAGCTTCACAGGACTCTCTTCATTTTACTTCCCCTACACAAATATCTGCATCAGCAGAAATATCAAAAATAAAGACGGGTAAATTGTATTTGTGTTATTTCTGCAGCTTAGTATTTGTTTTTGCCTAAAGGGCCTTATATTTACAGGCTATTTCCTCTGATTCCTTGATGTTGCCTGAAATGATATTTCATCTGCAGTGTTTAGTAGTTTAACTCCATAGCTACAACACTGATAGTCTGTGGCTGTGGCATAGGGTCAAACAGAAAAACTGCAGGAATCCAGGTTGTTTGGGGTGGTTTTCATATGTCGGATGGAAGAGACTGTTACCTAGATGGAGTTGATTGTTAGGTATGATCATATATTTTGGTTGGAACATTTGACACTGGGAGACGTTTTGTTTGTTAGTCATGCCGTATACGTTTTTTGCTGCTCTCTCCGTTACTATGCATTTTTTCTCAAGTTGTGGGGAGCTGTATTATTATTTCACCATGGAACTTTTCTTGTCAGAGTCTTAGATTTATATTCATAACAAAGATATGAATGTGTTGGAAATGGGAAGGAAAATTATCCTAAACTCAACAGTAAATATTTGAATAGTATTGTTAAAAATTTCCTCTCTTAAATTCTCGCACTTCAGTGTCTCATGAAAGTTGAGTTAATTTTTGTTATATCAAGAATATAAAATGTCACTTGTATTAATTTAGTTTGAATGACAAATTACGTAATGTGTAGTGTATTAAAACCTGCAACTCAAAATACGTACTACATCTGGTAAACTGAAACGCACCAAGTGTTGCCAATAGAAATTACTGGTTGTACAATTTCCTATGAGCATATATTTTAGCTGTCTAGCGCTCTTCCTCCAAATGCAGTTCAAGTCCAAAGTAGAGAGCCTTTTTTGACATTCCATGTGCACAAAGCCCTTGACTCCTCGCTAAGTCTGCATATGAGGAAGTTGCAGTTCCTGTGGGGGAGGGGTGTTAGGCGTAAGGTCGGGGTTTTTGGTGGTTTCTTTTGGAGTTGGAAGTCTCTTGAAACTGTTTCAACAGTATTTAAGTGCTCTTGGCATCTTAGGGAGCAGTGTAAAGCAATCCTTCTTTTTCTGATTTATTTTCATTTCTCCACCAATATGAAGCTGCCTTTCAACGTTATTTACATTTTTCTGCAGTTACAAGTTCAGCTGACCTGGAAACATATATGCCTCCGCTTTCCAGAACACCTCATATGTTAAGAATTACTATGGCTAATTGTGATGCATTAGCTTTTCAGTTAAACCACTTCTGTTTTGTTTTTTTGATAGCAATTTGGGGAAAATATTCCTCCTCTTCATCCCAGATGTTTTAGTCATCTGCCATGCTTGTCTTCCACTGGGGTCATGATCATTAGTATAGACAGACAGATTACTTTATTACTTTTTTTTTTTCTTTTTTTCGTGAGCAAAGCCATCTTGTGTTTAATACTGGAAACTCACCTAAGACTATTGTTCGTTTGTCTCCTTCAGGAGACGCTATTAAGGCTATTTTGAGATGTACTTAAATGAAGTAAGTCTGGTGAATGATGTCTAAAGCTTAATCATAATCTTAAAATTATTTTTTTCTAAGCTAATACAGCATCTTCAGACTTCATTATACTCTCTTAATTAGATAGATATATACATGTGTTTATACTCTACTGCCACCATATTAAGCTTCTTTCTTACTTTTAAATTGTTTTTTTACCTTTTTTAATCTTTGTTTTATATGTAGATTATGTACCATTAAAGCTAACAAAATCTTGACAGAAGAAACACTGAAGAGAACTTAAGACTGTCTTTTTTTGCAAAAATATATTTGCAGTATTTTTCAGTTTTGTTGATTTCTCTGCTGCTCTTCTGAGTGCTTTACACTTACAATAATTGTGTCAGAAGTTCTATATACTTTTATGAGTTGCTTTAAGTTATGTGAAGCATGTTGTCTAAAGTAATATAAGCTTTGATTGTCTTTCATATGAGTTTCAGTTGTCATTTTAACCACCAGCTTCAGCTCCTACTCTAAACCAGCACTGCTCTATTGTCAACATAAGTCACACTTATTGTTGGTGGGCCATTGCATTGCAGATTAGGTGCGTTATAAGAACACAAAGTTATATCTAGAAGTAATAATCATAGATACTGTGACCTATTTCTTTATAGCTTTCGCTGATATTCAGCCTGTTCTTTCAAGCCCTGTGACACCTAGTAAGCCTGAAATAGCAGATCCTGGACCAGGTACAATAATTACTGTCTAGCTATTGTTATTTGGTAGCTCAGACCCTGCTCTGAGACTCACTGAAATGACTGCACTCGTAATCTTCAGTTTCAATGTGCATTTGGACCAAACCCTAACACCTGATTTTTGAAATTAGATTGCTATTAATGGTTGACATTGGTGCTTTATCGCACTTACAACGCATATGGCAACTCATAGTCATCTGATTTTCCATCAGTATTTTGAAAAATATGCTGGACAGATAAATGTGAGAAAACATGATTCAATGTCCTAAAGTGCTAATCAAAATACTCTGATGAATGCTGCAGACTGCATTCTACTGTTGTAGTCTTGTTAAAAATATTAATGAAGGAAGAGTTACATCCTTAAGTGAGTTTAAATCAGTTAACAGTTGCAGACACTTGATTCTTTCATATTGAAACCATAGTTGGATCAGGTTTCAGCATTCTAGTCCAAGTATTTTGAGGTTTTAATATCTGACTAATTGATTGATCAGCATGTCCTCTTCTTTAAATTCCTACATGTTACACCACATCATCTTCCTTAAGTAATGGGCCAAAACTCAAAATGGTATGAGGCAACCTAGAATCTGTTACTTGGCAGTGATTTAGATCCAAACCAGTTGCAGTAAGGCAGGAAGAAAGTAAATGAGCATCCAGAATTCCTGCACACCAAAAGTATCATGATTTACAGTCACTAAAGTTCTATGCATTTCAAAAGACTGAATTCGTCTCTAACACATGCTAAACCGATAAACTGAAAAGGGTCCAAGATTTAGTGAAATAGTTCTTTTTTTCTTGTAAAAACTAAATTGTTTTTGCTTATGAAGCAAAGTTTTCTTCCATTAGCTCTTTGCTGTCTTATGACTGTAACCATTTCTTCCAACAGCAACAAGTGAATCCATTCTGGAATCTTTCACACCTAAAACTTCTCGTCCTTTTCAATGGCCAAGGGTAACATTAGGTAATGTTGTTTTCACACAGTGAAAAACTCTGTGTTTGTTTTGAGCACTTCATCCTACATGAATGCATTTCTTCCAAGAGATCATTTCACATGTATAATTATTCTTTTTCCTCGTTATAGAATCTTGTTTTTCTGTTATCATTAGGCTCTCATATTTCTTGATATGTCTCTGTGTGGGAACATAGTTCAGGATAGTTTTACTGTCCTCAGAGCAGTAAAACATGCTTCTCCATAACTCGCATGAAAAACTAAGTCATCCTTTTTTCAGTGCTTACTCTCTCTGGCTCCCTCTCGCGCACACACACGTGTTCTCTTTTGCTTGCTCTCTCGTAGAAGTCTCTTAGTGGAAATTTTAGTTCTTTTTGGGTCATCAAATCTATTTCGGATCATTGCACAGCAGTTCAATATCATCTCACCTCAAATTCTGATTTCATCAGATGGCTTTCACGTTCCGTATTGTGTTATCTTCTCTTCAATATAAACTTGTGGCATGTGCTTTTGTTGTTGTGGGAAAGCCTTCTTAAATAATTTTTGATTGCAAACTGAGCTCTTTCTTTCAGCTCCAAAAGAAACACCACTTATTCCTTCTAAAGTGAAACCATCTGCTACCCAAGAAGTACAGCATGTGAAACCTGGTAATTGTGCATACCATTTTTAGCAATCAGTATACTGAAACAGATATTCACTAAAAATATTTCAGGAAAACTTCCTGAAATTGTCAGGAACTTGAGAAGACATGAGCATCCTGACCAATTTATGTTATCTTCTAAGATCAGTCATCTGATGTTGCGTAAAGAGGTGTAAGTGTTAAGCTCATTAAGTTTATGCATATGGATCTGGCGATAGAATATAAACAAGCTGCCCTGCTTCATAGCCTAACTGAAAGGAGGGGCAGGGAAGAACTGGGTGGCACAGTTTTGTTTTTTTGTGCGACTCGTATAAACAATATATATGAATGTTTTTTTGATAACCTCTTTTGCCAGTCCCATCTCCCACTTCCGTATGGACATATTATGGCAAACAGGGCATATTTGCTAGTTACAGCACTTTGTTGATTCAGAATGCAGAATTAGCCATGTGATTGAGGAGTTCTCCTTCAAGGAACTTAATGAAAAGGATTGTCCTTTCACTGAAAATAGGAGCGCCTCCTCAGCATAGAAGGGGAAACTTCAAAAACGTTCGAAAACGTGTGACAGATTTGCTCATTGACCATGGGAAGACTATCATCGAGTATCTTTTTTCCTTTTCTGCTATTTGATCAAAAATAGATCACTAGTAATTTTCTTCTCTTTTGATTTGGGATTACGGGAGGTGAATTTGCCTCCCTTAATGATTCAGGTACTGAACCAGTAGGTTTTACGGTGTGGGTTTCTAGAACCTCAGAATGTCTCTATTCTCATATCTCATAAATAGGCTGTTCAGTAAGCAGCAGAGTTAGCTTTGTCTTACATATGTCTTATGATTGACTACAGGCTCTCATTTAAGCTTTTCAGTAAGATTTTGGCATTTAGAAGTTGCCTTTTTGGTATAGAATCTCTGGTATTTGATATGGAGTGCACACTTCTCTTCAGTCAAAGCACTGATCTGTCCTTTCTTCTTATTCTCCTGTAAATAAAATAAATGAAATATATTTGGTGATTGAATCCAACAGTGGGTTAAAAAATTGCAGAGGACATAACTGGGTGGCACAGTTAACTACATAACTGCAGGGAAAGGAGTCTCAGAAGCAGATTCCCACACATAGCCGCAAACAAGCAATATGTAGTTTCATAGGAAGCAAAAATAAAAAGAAAGTAGGATGTTAAGCAGAAGAGTAGGACTTAATTTCTGAGTTTATCTAGTCTGTTTAAAAAAAAAGAAAGAAAGAAAAAAACCCATGAAGCATTGGAATGATACTACTTTCAGCTTAGTAGTGATACCTCTACTTACTCATTTAATCATGCTTGAATTTTTGTTTTCTAGCCCCTAAACCACCGCTTTTTGAGCATAGCACACCTAAAACGTCTCAAACCAGTGAGCAACCAAAAGCAACACTAGGTAATAAACGTTTCTGTAGCTGTCTGTCGCTCTTCCTTGCAGTCCAAGCCACAATTAGAACTCTGTGACTTTGTCTCATGGCTTTTTATGTTTGTGATCCATTTTTCTTATAAAGGAAAAATGTTATGAAGGCAGGGCAGTCGCAAATACATATTTCTCAACTTAGGAAAAAAAAAGTTGAGTTTTTCCATATAATAAATGATTTTACTAGTTTTATAGTAAAGTAAAATTTCTGGGAGTAGAATTGGCTCCCGTTTGGGGGAAGTTTTGCTACATCCACAGACATTCTACATTCAGAAAATCATCAGAAACCCATCAGAAGAACTATTGAAAGGCTAATTGCAAGGTTAGTATTGCGGACGTTAGTCTTAAAACTCTCCATGAAGGATTTCTGCAGCCCTAGGTAGATATTTTTATTCTTCTCTTCTATGAATCCTTCATGAATATCATTTTGGCTTGAAAAATACTTCTCCGTCACTTCATATATCTTATTCTAGTCTGTTCTTTCCATAAATGTCATATGCTTTTCCACTGTGTCTGTAGCTATGAAACTTTTTTCCTTGGAAAGCAATCTCATCGCACTGCTTTATAAAAATGGACAAAATTATTTGTTAAACTACCTGACGCTGACCTTAAGCTTTACCTGATGTCAGGTTAACAGTTGTATTAGCCAATTAGAGTTTCGGCTCATGCATGTGTAGGAGAAAAAAGACTTTTTGAGCTGGTTGCTATCTAAAACAGCAGTACTTCTATTTTTTAAATAGAATTCCAGGACTACAGCTGTGAAGCAACCCCCTTTTATATTGTTGCTTCCATGCTTTTCTGGCTCCCTGCCAGGTAATTTCTTCAAAGAATTGAAAATTCTGGGCATTTTTGCAGGGTTTGTATCTTTTTTGATGGCTTAAAATTGACCTGAGGCTCAAAAGGATAGATGGCATTGTTATTTTGCCTCTTAGGTATCTTGCAAAAATTTATTTGCTAGTTTAGTGAGAGGAACATTTTGATGCAATTGTAAATGATAAATAATTATTTTTAATTTACTTACTAAATTTTACAGTAAAGAACAAGCCATTATTCTTAGCTGCAGTAGTACAGTCTTGTAAAGATTTTGAGAAACCTTTTCACAAATTATTTTTGGCCATTTGCTTTTATTCTCAATAGCCATTCATTGCTTCATTTCAGGCTTGAACTATGTGATTTTATTCTGTGTGAAACAGTGGAAAGGATAATCTTATAATCCAGTATATTTCTTTCAGCTCCTAAAGAAGCAAAACTCATACCTTCTACATCTAAACCTACATTATCTGCCAGACCCAAAAAACCACAAATCAAACCTGGTAATTACCTTCCATAATGTATCACTTAAGCAGTTTAATATACTTTTGTTTAAATTTGTTCTGCATGAAACTCAGCACCCTCAATCGTCAGGAAGACAGGCAATGAGGGGAGCTGTGCTTTTTGAGGAATATTATTTTTCTATTGCACCAAAAAAATTTGAAGCAAAGCAAGAAAACTTTTAACTTTAGATTTATGCCTGCTAATTGCATGACTTTGGAAACAAATTGTTTGTGTCCTTTTCATTTAAAAATCGCACGTTTTCTGAACTTAGGTCAGCACAGAGTCTGGAAGATGCAAATTCGGTTGCTTTGCTAATTGGGTATAGTAGCACCCAGTACTTATCTGAAGCTGTGGAAATAAGGGTGAAGTTCTGGCCTAGAATTTAGTAAAGGTGTATTTTATGATGGCAAGTGAACCTGCACCTTCATACCAGGGTTGAATTTGGTCTGGAATGTGTGTTGGAGGAAAAAAGGTAAGACCTTAGTCTGAATAAACTCCTGCAGTTAGGTTAGCGTAATACAAGATAGATTGGTGTGGACAGGTACTTCTTCCTTTAGAGCCGTCCCTTCCTTATCAGAGGCTGTGAGGGTCTTGGAAAGACTGCTAAACATCCATCTTCCGAAATATAATTAACGCAGAGGACCATGCCTTTCCTATGAAACATAAGTTTGATAACTTGGTGCATGTTCTTTTCGTTGTTACTTTCCGTCCTTCAGAATCTCAGGTTACCTGGCTTCACAGTGCCTGCAGCCCAAGAGCCTGATAAACTGTTCAATGATACTGAGAGTAGCTTTTATTTCAGAGCCCTTTTATGCTATATGGAAATTTTATTTAGATGCTCTGACTTCAGAAGGGTCAGAGGAAATGAGAGGTATTTAATTTTTTACGGGACTATTCCCATCACATAATTATTCCGAGAAAAACCCCATCTCCCAGCTCTACCTTTTACTTAAAAAAAGTCCAAGCCAAATGAAAATTTTGTATTAGTTAATGGACTTTTTAAGGATGGCCTGAAAAGAAATCATTACCAGAGACATTCAGAATCTCCTTAGAGTTGGGGAAAGGATGGCATTGTTGAATTTTATGTTAAAAAAAAAAAGAAAGGCAAATGAAAAGCCAGGTCTAAGTGATTTAGGATTCATCAGAACTGTATGGTGAGACAAATGTCTGGCCTTAGGTTAGTTCTGGTACAATGCCCCGGGTAGCCAACTTGTAGGTTAACATGTGGGTTAAAATGTAGTGCTGAAGTATGCGTGGATGCACTTATGCCATACTCAGTACTCAGTGCTGTCCAGTGTAGAAAAGTAGTCTCCAGTTGATAACTAGGGAAGTGTTCCTAGCTGATCCTTGTCATGACGGAGCAGTGCTTCCACAAGTGGTAGCTCAGAAAAGAACTTGGCAAAAACAAAGTGTTCTGGCTACTGACTTTTTGTTTTCAATAGTTGCTTCTGTGTACTCTCATTAGTTACCCTTTGACCCCATCTAATACCACGATTCTGTGTTTGGGAGCAAGAACTGATTTCACTGACAGGGTTAGACTTTTTTTTCGTTTTGTTTTGTTTTCTAGCAGAACCATACTATCACCTCATGTGAGCTGTCCATGACCAGCTTTAGCAACATGGCTTTTAAAGGGGATTATTGTGATGAGAGATTTATCAACCTAACAAATGTTAGTTTAGAGATCTGATTCTCAAAGGAGATAGAAAGCTTAATAATTGTTCTCTGTTGGAATTTTTTTTAAACTTTGCAGTTCCCAGTAAAGCTTCTCCTTCCAAACCTAAGGTCTTTCTGCAGCCAGAAGAGCCTATGACAATGCCGGGTAATTGCTGTGTTCTTTCACTTATTTGTCCACGTTATTTATCCAAAAAAATGATATATCTTACAGTCTTTTGCTTTCTTAACGTACTGGCAATAGGATCAATCAATTGTTAACTATAAAAAAAAAGTGCCAGTAAATAAATCAGGCAGGTATTAAAATTGAGTGAAATATGTCAGCTTTCTCTTCAGCCTTTTAAACTTAAACACAATCCCTCCCCCCACAAACCCACCCCACCCCCATCATGAACCTTCATGCAAGAAAATAGAGACTTTTAAATTAATGAGCTAATTTTGTATATAAACCCACAACGTTTTGGAAGTTTTAGCCCTCCTAATCCTATTGTCATCACAAGTTTGTGACTGTAATTACTACCTCAACATGAGTGTACTTGTGACTCTTTGACATGTTTGTGAATTTCAACATCAAAAATTATCAGTACTGTCCAAAAATAAAGTTTGAGGCACCTATGCAACATTCATCAATCATATTTCTTTCCCAAGTAAAACCTGTGTCATAATAAAGGAAGAGGAGGCAGAGGTAATAAAACAATGAAATTGAGAAGAGTCAAAGCAGAGAGTCAACAAGTGAAATAAAGTTTGAAAGCTTAGATAGACATACTGATTACTTATTGATTGTAGATAAATTTAGAATTGAAAATGGGCTGCAGTTTAAAGTCATGTTAATACTAAATAATTCTACCAACTTTGCTTTCCAAAGTCCCTTTATCTTTTCATTGCCTTTGGAGATCTTTGCTTTCAGACGTAATTTATTTCTCTAAACAGAGATGGAAAGCATTCTAACTTTAACATCTCCTGTTCTGTAGTACTAGATAACCTACTGAGATCTTCCTCAGCCTTCTTTGGCATGATTTTGCAATTATTTAAACCTGAAATCATTCATATCTTACCCTTGAATCACTCTGGATGAAACTCATAGAAATTAATAATGAGATTATAGATAATAGAAAGAATACCAAAAGAAAAAGATTTATATGGGACTGTCTCTTCAACTGTCTGCAGCCATGAGGAGGAAAAAAGTTATGGTCAGGGAAACAGAGAGGAGGATGAAGACTCAGAAAGCTCCTCTCCCATCAGTATTCCTCTGATACAGATGCACCAATTGATCTTCAAAGAGCAGCGAAAGTCACACAGAACAATTAATGTTGAAGACTATTCAGTAATATTTTTACTCAATAAGCGCTTTCATTTGAATGCTGGGGAGGAGCTGAGCCTTACCAGAAGTTGAGAATGGATGTAGATGCACCTGTATTTCTCTCAAGAAAATGTTCTTTGTTTCAGCAGCAACCATTCCAGTGTCAGTCACTACTAAGAATCCGTACACAGTTGAACATCCAAAGACCCCAGCGGGTAATGATTACTGGTCATCTTTAGCCATTCTTTTTTCATCAGTCTGATAATATTTGCAATTAGAAACACTGTTTTCTTTAGGCTTCTTGCTTATTCATATGTAGTCCAAACTCAGCAACTGAAAGTATGGTATTGGTGTTTTATTATTTCTCCATGGTTCTAGCCTGGTTGGTGAGTACCTGTGAGGTACCAGTGAAGCATAGGGGGACTCATAGCTCTACTGTTTGTGTGATTTTATTTCATTTCGTCTGGTAAAAAATATGACATTATTTAGCCATGTATTTGTTTCTGTAGAATCCTGGGTGGCACAGTACTCTTTAGGCCCTGTGCCTAAAATGTGATTAAATATCATTTAACCTATTCAGAAGGCATAAACTAACAGTAAATGCAAAGCTACATGTGTATAATCAGTATTTAATGTATATGTGTTAGCAGACATACTTAGCAGTTGATTTATGACTGGGTAATATTAACAAATTATGGCAAGTCTGAAATAGCAAGTGAAAATTCATGGTGGTTTTGGATATGGAACCAGACATATGACAGCTGTGCTGAAATCACAGAATAAATGCATGCATAAATGCATATTCTGTTGGAGTAAGCATATAAGAACTAATGCAAGGGATAAAATATATCCTGAAATAGATTTTTTTTTCTGGTTATTTTCCCACTTTTCCTCATATTACATTTTTTCATGATAACAGATCTGTGGAGCTTGTGCTACTAAAATACCAAGTTAGGAAATGATAACAGGAAAACATCTAGTTGATGTGATTTAATAGGAGAACAGATTTCTAAAAAAGGCTGAAAAGAGAAGAGGCTTTCATGAACCTGTACAGTTGAATTAAACGGGGATTATGTTGTTGACTTCAGTGAAGATCTCCGTCTTTTGCAGGTCTAACCTGCAGAGTAGGGAGATGATGTAAAAGTTTATGTTGCTATGTTTGTGAATTCATTTTATCTCCCATATTTTTCCAGTAGCAAACATACTTTCCACTTAAAAAAAAAAAAAAGGAAAGAAAGAAAGAAAAAAATCCTGCTGTTTGGATCATATCTTGGTTTTACTTTCTGTGATTTTTGCATCTCACTACTGTATTTTGACGACATGATTCAGTTTAGATTTTTCTTGAATGGGGCAGATTGGAAAACTAGTCAGGGAGAAAACAAATGTTGGAGGCAGGGGTATGATCAGGGCATAAAAGTACTCCAAAAGTGTTGTTTGTGTAGATTTCAAAGTATTCTATTAGAGTGTTAATCCTAAAAATGTAAGTGCAAATACAGATAGTTGGGAAGCTTTTCAGGAATTGTAGCTACATCCGAAATAAAGGGAATATGCTAATGTTATTTATTCCAACAGCAACCAGGAAATATGTGCCACTGTCAATCATTACTCTGATTCCCCATATTCTTGAGCATCTGCAGACTACAACTGGTAATGCTGACTAATCTTTTTCCCTGACTTATTTTTAATGCCTTTTTTATTTCTCTCGAGAAACAAACTTCCTTTTAAGAGATGAGAACATTCTAACCCTGTTGTCACAGCTAATGACAGAATTCCATTCTGCTTTTTAGATGCAAATTGATTTAGTGCTCCTCAACCATATGTCCGTTATTGTTCCTTTTGCTGTCTTTTCGTAGGAATGGGTTTTCATTGCACTGAAGCTAGAGCTTGAAAATGGTCTTGAAAAAGTGCTACTCCCCTGTTTTCAAATCTGTTTATGATATTTTTCAAGAGCTGTTACTTATGCTTTCTTATTAACAGTGAAAAGTGTTCATTCGCATTGCACTCAGTCCCAAAATATTAATTGCGGTGTTGTAGCAACCTCAGAATGATCAAATGTGTTGGTTTATGGGCAGTTAACAAATAATGTGCTAGTATCATAAAAGTCAAACTAACCAATTCTGATGTGAGCTGTTTAGAAACACCTGTTCATAATGGTCATGCTTGAAGAATCACCTCTGCTTCTGTGCAGAACACTCAAGCAAAGCTTTACATAACAATAATGTCATAATTTAAGTGGGTTTAAGTTATGTGGTGCTAGTTTAGATTATTTATTATGGGAGTGGATGTCCCCATTCACTTTGGACAGAGCAGTATTCTTCTCAAAGGTAATGTGTCCTTGGTGGCTGCTGGGACATGAAAATTTCTATTGTTTTATTGTTGTTGTTTGAAAATGTGCCATCAGAATAAAACTCAGCGTGGAAGATACCAGTAGCTCTGAATTGATTCAGGTCCAGATTCAAAGCTGGCAAGCTTCATGGCTGTTCTAGATTTTACTCAAGGTTTGATTTCTGTTCAAAACTTTAGAAATGCTGGCTTCAGACTTCCGTAGTTCAAACTTGTCTTTGTAAAATTTGGCTTGGGATCCATAATCCTAGGTTAGGACTATTCCTAGTGCTAACCTCTTGCAGAATTTTAACAATATTAACATTGGGGTTTTATATCCTAAGAGGGTTCCTATTTCCTCTTTGTTTTAGAATACATAATATTTTGTGTGCAGTACTTCATGGCGTTATTTGAACAAGAAAATGCATTCCTTGTCTGCGTAGTATTTCCACAGACAAGTTGTTAGTGCAGAACCCATCCTCCCAGATTCCTTAACATAGCTGCTTTGACTTAGTTAAATTAAAAACCTATTAAGTTGTTTAATTAAAAACGGTTTACCTTCGTGGTTTTGAAAATAACCTAGAGGGAAAAATGAATTATATTTGCCCTCTCTTGCTGAGATCCTGCCAGTACTAGAGATAATGACCATACAGCATCAGAGGTGCAGTGTTCCAGTATAATTGTACAGCACAGGGTGGGTTCCATTTTCATATGTTGCAACACAGCTGCACTGTCCCTCTTCTCCAGGACAGCTGTCGCCCAAATAGATAGGCCCTTAGTTCAAAAATGGCCTGGTTCTGTAAGCTCTGAATGATTGTTTATCTCAGAAGATCATGACTGAAACATAATGATGACATTTTAATTGCTAGCTTTCTTTAATTATTTCTTTGTCATTTAAAAAAAAATATCGGTAGTGTATTGATCCTGCAAATTTTCTTCCACATGTGGTGAGAAACCAAAGGCTACTGCTCTGCCCCATTCTTTTGCCAGATTTTCTAGTTTCCTTCCAGTCTATTGTTGGGATTATGTTAGGCCCTGCTGGGAATTAAAGGTGTATCAAAAGACTGAGATAACATAAAATAATATTTGAAAATATATAATTCAGCAACTTCTGTTTTGATTGTATGTCATTTTTATACTGAATTCATTACAGTCCTCCATTTTTGTAAGTTAAATGAAGCTCACCAGAAGCAATTTGAAGGAGGATTTGAGACATTGTTTACCTTTGCTCTGTAGATGGTTTTTTGGGAAGCATTTTGATATGTTTTCAGAGCTTTGCCTTTTAAAGCTCTTTGAAGCTTCGCTCTTTAAGACATGGGTGCGGCCAAAGGCATATATAATGCTTTACTAGAAAGGATGTCTTTAAATGTCTGCTTAAATGTTTTGGTTAAATAGAATCAAATCATTTTGGTTAATTAGCATCAAATCAGTTAGATTCCCTTTTTCCAGCTGCAGTTAAGTTCTACTCTAGAAACTACTCAGAAACTAAGGACTTTGGCCAAGGCCAACGCTGAATAACAGTGCTTTCTTAGCCTCACTTTTTAGCTCTTTCTTTTCTTTTGACTAAACTTTTAGAAGCTAACATCCAACTCTTACATTATCTCTTTTTTTCAGTGATACCGTCTTGATAGTTCTGCCCAATAACATTTCATATATTAAACTGATACCATCAGTTTTCTCCATGCTTATTCATTGATAAAACCTGAAAGTCATTTCCTAGACTACATTTCATCGTTGCCAAATGTGAATGTGTGTCTTCTATTGGACACCATTTGCTATAACCAGTGCTTAAATGCTGATGTTTACAAAGCTTTTTTTTCCAGTATCCAGTGAATCACAATCCTTATATCTGAAACCCAGATCATTTTCTAAGACCAAAATGACATTTCTTTTGCAGCTGTGTACTTTGAGGCTTGCTGTTACTTTAGAAAGTTAAAAAGATGAAAGCTTCAAATTTTTTGTTGGAGACAGAAAGGCAGTGATTATTATCCTGTGATAATGTTTATACTAAGAGAAAACAGTTTCCTTCAGAAAACATTTTGTAGAGATAAAGAATTTCATTTTCATTTTCTGTATTTCAAAAGGTGTTTGTTTGTTTCTTAAATATTAAATTTACTGGATTTTTTTCTAAATCTAGTCAATAACTTTTATCCCTGAAACGGCACTACTAATATTTCAAAGCATTTAACATGACTGAATGAAGATAGATTTAATGTTCCTGGATTTTTGTCAGGTTGCCAGCGTGGAACAGGATCACTTTCTTTTCTTTGTTCTCACTGTAGAATTAGGACAATAATTATTTTAAAACTTTTGGGAGGGAGCAAGGCGGGAGTTTTATGATTTTGTTTGTTTTTTCGTTTCGTTTTGTTCTTTCCAGCTCCAGCTGAAACACAATTCATTCCTACCCAGACTAAAACATCCCCTCAGCCAGAACAACCACATTCTAAATCTGGTAATTTTTTTTTTTTTTTTTGGCATCTAAACATCTAAAAAATCCCCCTTAATATTATTTTAACATATTTCCTTTATTGCCAGGATATTTTCATAGGTTCTGCCATTTCATACTTTAGGACTGTGAATTTTTTTTCATTTTGGCATAGTTTGTGAAGTTTGGGATCCCTGGCATCCCTGTGTACCAACAGTCCATTGCTGTCTCTGAGAGAGGCAATGATGTGATCGCTTTCTGTGATTTTTCTAGGGTTTTCTCCTTTTTATTTATATATTTTTCACCAAGTTACTATAAATATATATAATTATTTTCTTTTTTATTGAACCTGTATTATTAGAAAGTTTAATTGCCCACAAATTAAAAAAAAAAACAACTTAATTTGATGGTCCACATTACTGTGGTATAGTATCAGTAGCTGCTTTTATACTTAACCAGTGGAGTAACTTTAAATTACTTAAAGCGTATTCTGTACTTACCGTGTCACACTGTTTCTGTTGCAGTCTCGGAACCCCTTACATTTAGAATTGAACCACCAAGGTCAACAATAGGTAATGATATTTCCTTAGCAAGCTGTCGTGTTTGCTTTTCTCATCACAGAAAACTACACTGAAGTTATCACCTTATGTTGTAGGATTCTTTCATTAAACTTCATTTTTCTTCTAGATGATTCTTTTGCTTGGCATTCATGATAGTTGAACATATTGGTGTCTTCACAGATGGAATGTCTCCTTCCTGAGAAGTCAAGGCTGGCAGCTCTGAATCACCTCTGTCTGTTTGTGCTTGCAATTTAATTCCAAATTTTTATTGAGAAAAAAAAAAAAGAAAGAAAGAAAAGGAAGGAAAATCTAGGCTCCAAAAATGACCAAAATTCCACTCCTCTGCTGAGACTGATGTAAACACGCAGCCAGTATTCTGTTTTTTCATAGCTGCCTTTGTCTTTGCTGCTACCTATAAAAAGAATTCTTTTCTCTGTTGCAGGTGTGAAGCTTTTGTGTTTGTGTGTTAAACCTGCTATTAGGCCTTGCTTGCTGTGCAGTTTAACCAACTTATTACCTACTTTTTCTCTTCCAGCTCCGAAAGAGACTCAACGTATTCCTTCTAAACCTAAAACTTCACCCAAACTTCATATCCCACAGGCCGAAGATGGTAAACTGTTTTGTGTGATTATTTCTAATATGGTTTATATTGGTTTGAAATGTATTTCTAAGCAGCTGTACTTATCTAAACTAAAACATCACAGAGTTCAGTTCTGCTGATGATGTGTTGCCATTTACAGGAGCAGTAAGACCTTCACTAGGTTTTCATTATCATGTGAAAGACTAAGTGTCTGCTAGCTTGTGGCAGCAGAAAGAGAATAATGTTGTTTAACTCAGATAATAGTGGTAACTAGAGTGAAACCCTTGCAGTTAAAGTATATATTATGGCTACTTAGGTGGTGGAATTCCTCACGTACTGCTTAGCGTTGTTAGAATAAACATGATGCTTCTCTTTCAATTTGCAGTTGTTTCATCTCATGACATGATTATTTCCTGCATGAAGAAATAAAGTACCGAGTGCAGAGCTACCATTTGTTAATTAACAAGTGCATTTATATTATTTGTCTATTAATATTCATGGTATTAATAGTTATCTATACAGTATTCCAAAATACTGGATTTTCATTTACTAATGTCATTAAACATGAGTTCCGTTGAATTCAGTGGTATGTAGAAAAAAATTACTCAGTGTCCTGTGTTATTGATTGTTTTTGTAGTAATAGCAACAGAAAATTACCATTGTATAATGTATCAAGGTATGTTCTCTTTTGGTAAGCGTGACAAGTTTTATGATAATTACTTTACTGAAGATCTTTGAATTGGTGACATGGAGCAATAGTTTTGAAAGCTAATAGTATCTATTAAACATGATTTCCTCGTTTAAAAAAAAACAATCAAAATCCTTATTCTCTCATATTTTTGAATCATGGCACCTGATTATCAAATACTAACTCCAAATTAAAACTTAAAATGCTGCTCTTCATAAACTCAGTGCATATGTTTTCAGTGTTCTTACTTTTGTCGCCCTTTTTTTATTGTTATGGTAGCCTATCCTTCTCAAAAGAGTTTTCTCTTGCAAATGTTGCAAGTTTGGACTGTTCTATGTTTAAATCAAAACATTTATTAATTGTTTCTTCAGGAATCCGTAAGATGCAGAACTTTTTTTGACAGCATCATCCACTTACCTTGTTGTGGTTATCTTCAAATATCCAAAAACAATTTATAACAGTTCTTTTATTATCACCCATTCAGAGGAATTGGCACAGAAGGAAGACATTTCTATTGTGGCTCTATTTCTAATGAGAGAAATGCAAGAAGACAGCAGTAGTTTTACATCCTTATGCAAGCACCGTGTTTATTTTTAAGTTCATACCACTGTAGAGCGAACGTACGTGGTCGTGTAGCTCAGTGTGCTGTAATGCTCTTTAATAATACAGCACCCAGAACAAGGAAGTGGTCTCAAATTCCAATTGTATGTGTAAACCGCATTTAAAATATACCACAGAGGGAAGAGTTTTGTGTCCACCAAAGGCCATTTTCTGAATGAGGGAGTGATAAGTGTTTGGATATCTCTTTGAAGCGCATGAGAGAACTCAGCTCACACTTAAGGAGTATGTTTTGTCTTAAGCTGTTTAGTCCCTAATTGTCTCAGATAGAGACTTTGTTTGATATAATAGCTTCAATATAACTTTGCTTTTAGGGGCAATATATAATTTATAGTGCAGTTATTAGACAAATAATACTAATTTTAAGTGGAATTAATCTCTTCAATTTTCATGATAGCTTTTATTGCTTTGTTTTTCATACAGTCCTGGAATCTGTAACATTTAGAACTGATCAGCCAAAAACAGCAATAGGTAAAAGTACTAACTACAGGCACCATCACATTTAGTTTTTCTTCTCAGCGGAGACCTAGCATCATAAGTATATGTTCACTGTACTCCACTGTCGTAATTTTTTACAATTAAATTTCGTCCTTCTTTAAGGCTGCTTTGGTATTTTGCACTAACAATTCATATTCATTTTGTTTGGTTTTCCTCACAAAAATTTGTTCTGTAAAGTAGATGGAAGCAGCACAATCTTGCTTTGACCATGTTTCTTTATATTCAGTTTCTATAATGTGCTTCATCGTTTCTACTAGTCTGCAAGTCAACCGTCCATCCTGGCCTTGCTTTATTTGGTCCTGTTACAGAGATTCTCTATCAGCACCATCTATTTGCATACCAGACATTCATACTCCATTACTCATACAAGCTTTTTGTGTCTCCAGAGGGTTGCAAGGCATGTGTTCTCTTTAAATGTTATGCCTGCTGTCAGTCTCAGGTTCTTGAGTGATTTTAATAGTCAGATTTTTTTTTTATTTCAGTTCCAAAAGAAACACACCGTGTTCCCTCCAGACCTAAGACTTCACCAAGCTCAGAGGTGCCACAGACCAAACCTGGTAAGTACACTGTTTCTTTATCTTATCATACTGATAGGTGTATTTTACAAATTCTACTGTGATCCGTGGGGCTTCACGATTATTTGAATCCCTTGGGTGTATTTGTTGAAGCATCCTTTGAAGGATAGGATCCGTATCGCATGTCATGATATGGGAATCTGTAAGCAACCTAGTAAGTTTAAACTCTGTCTTGGGTTCTTTTCACATTATAAGTCACTGCAGCAGTGGTAATTTTCTGTGCCAAGTCAGTTTGCAATAGCAAAGTCTTCAGTGAAACTCTATCTTTTCTGTTTGAATTTGGATGAGTTTGAGGAATGTGAAAATGAGAAAGAGGGGTGTCATTGCAAAGGGGAAGGTTTTTTCTGTGATTCTCAGACAGGGCACTTCTCCCTCCCCTCCCTTCCCTTCCCTTCCCCTCCCCTTCCCTTCCCTTCCCTTCCCCTCCCTTCCCTTCCCCTCCCTTCCCTTCCCTTCCCTTCCCTTCCTCTTCCCTTCC